CCACCCTACATCTACCACCACCACCGACATCTTCCACCACCCAACCCTCTACCACACCACCTAATCTACCACCACCCACCTACATCTACCACACCCACTACTCTACCACACCCACCGACATCTTCCCCACCCACCTTCATCTACCACCACCACCTACATCTACCACCACCCACCTACATCTACCACACCCCTACATCTTCCACCACCCACCTACATTATCACCACCCACCTACATCTATCCACCACCCACCTAGCGTCTCCACCCACCTACATGTACACCACCCAGCCTATGTACCAGCACCGAGTTTACCCCACCTACATCTACCACCAGGGGAAGTTGCCAACCACGTACATCACCGCACTCTTGTATCATATAGCCTCACCTAGTTACTCACCCACCTGATCTACCACCACCCACCTACATCTTCCACCACCTACATGTACACCCTACATCTACCACAGCTACCGATGGTATGTAGTGGTAGTGTATGGCCACACGATGAACACGATGTAGTGTCGCCACTGCATTGAGTCGACTGTAGTGGTACCGTAGCTACGTATGTATCACTACTTTAGAGTAGATCTACATCGTGGTACGTGGCTCACGTCACCCAGTGTATTGCCACACCGCTAAGTGTCAGACTGGAGTGTAGTGATAGTGTAGGTATGTACATAGTGGTATGTAGTGGTAGTGTAAGCGTAGTGAAGTGTAGTGGTAGTGTATGTAGGTAGTGTAGCACATATGGTATTGTGGTAGCATAGTGTAAGATAATGTAGTGAAGTGTAGCTGATGGTAGTGTAGTAGTGTAGTGGTACATAGTGTAGTGTAGTGGTAGCGGTAGTGAGTGTAGTGTAGTGTATGTAGCGTAGTGTACGTAGTGTATGAGTGTAGCGTAGTGGTATGTAGTGGTAGCGTAGTGTAGCGCTAGTGTAGTGTAGCTGGTAGTAGTGGTAGTGTATGTAGTTAGTGTAGTATAGCGAAAGTGGTAGTGTAGGGTATCGTCAGTGGTATGTAGTGTTTAGGTAGTAGTAGCGTAGTGGTAGTGTAGTGGTATGAGTGTAGCGTAGTGAGTCTTATGTAGTAGTAGCTTAGTGTAGTGAAAGTGGTAGCGTAGTGGTATGTAGTGTATAGGCATTCACCTGCTATAGTAAACGCCTAACTACCATTACAACTAGGGTAGTAAGTCCCACCTACATCTACCACCACCCACCCTACATCTACCACCACCCACCTACATCTACCACCACCCACCTACATCTACCACCACCCACCTACATCTTCCACCACCCACCTACATCTAACCACCACCCCCCCCATACATCTCCCACCACCCACCTACATCTCCACCACCCACCTACATCTTCCACCACCCACCTACATCTTCCACCACTACCTACATCTAACCACCTAACCCCACCTACATCTTCCACCACCCACCTACATCTACCACCACCCACCTACATCTACCACCACCCACCTACATCTACCACCACCCACCGACATCTTCCACCACCCACCTACATCTACCACCACCCACCTACATCTACCACCACCCACCTACATCTACCACCACCCACCTACATCTTCCACCACCCACCTACATCTACCACCACCCACCTACATCTACCACCACCCACCTACATCTACCACCACCCACCACATCTACCACCACCCACCTACATCTCACCACCCAAACCTACATCTACCACCACCCACCTACATCTACCACCACCCACCTACATCTCCGCCACCCACCCACATCTACCACCACCCACCTACATCTACCACCACCCACCTACATCTACCACCACCCACCCATCATCACCACTACCCACCCACATCTACCACCACCCACCACATCTACCACTACCCCCTACATCTACCACCACCCACCCACATCTACCACCACCCACCCATCTACCACTACCCACCTACATCTACCACCACCCACCACATTCTACCACTACCTCCACCCACATCTACCACCACCCACCCACATCTCCCACCACCCACCTCAATCTACCACCACCCACCTACATCCACCACCCACCTACATCTCCACCACCCCACCTACATCTTCCACCACTCACCTACATCTTCCACCACCCACCTACATCTACCACCACCACCTACATCTACCACCACCCACCTACATCTTCCACCACCCACCTACATCTACCACCCCCGCACCACATCTTCCACCACCCACCTACATCTATCCACCACCCACCTACATCTTCCACCACCCACCTACATCTCCACCACCCACCTACATCTACCACCACCCACCTACATCTACCACCACCCACCTACATCTACCACCACACCACCGACATCTTCCACCACCCACCTACATCTACCACCACCCACCTACATCTACCACCACCCACCTACATCTACCACCAAACCCACCTACATCTACCACCACCCACCTACATCTTCCACCACCCACCTACATCTACCACCACCCACCTACATCTACCACCACCCACCTACATCTACCACCACCACCTACATCTACCACCACCCACCTACATCTACCACCACCCACCTACATCTACCACCACCACCGACATCTTCCACCACCCACCTACATCTACCACCACCCACCTACATCTACCACCACCCACCTATATCTACCACCACCCACCTACATCTACCACCACCCACCACATCTTCCACCACCCACCTACATCTAACCACCACCCACCTACATCTACCACCACCCACCTAATCTACCACCACCCACCTACATCTACCACCACCCACCTACATCTTCACCACCCACCTACATCTTCCACCACCCACCTACATCTTCCACCACCCACCTACATCTACCACCACCCACCTTCCCCCCCATCTACCACCACCCACCTACATCTACCACCACCCACCGACATCTACCACCACCCACCTACATCTAACCACCACCCACCTACATCTACCACCACCCACCTACATCTACCACCACCCACCTACATCTACCACCACCCACCGACATCTTCCACCACCCATCTACATTTTACCACCACCCACCTACATCTACCACCACCCACCTACATCTACCACCACCCACCTACATCTTCCACCACCCACCTACATCTTCCACCACCCACCTACATCTTCCCACCACCCACCTACATCTTCCACCACCCACCTATATCTACCACCACCCACCTACATCTACTACCCCCAACCTACATCTACACCACCCACCTACATCTTCCACCACCCACCTACATCTACCACCACCCACCTACATCTACCACCACCCACCTACATCTACCACCACCCACCTACATCTTCCACCACCCACCTACATCTTCCACCACCCACCTACATCTTCCCACCACCCACCTACATCTACCACCACCCACCTACATCTACCACCACCCACCTACATCTACCACCACCCACCTACATCTACCACCACCCACCTACATCTACCACCAACCCACCCACACATCTACCACCACCCACCTACATCTTCCACCACCCACCTACATCTACCACCACCCCACCACATCTCACCACCACCCACCTACATCTTCCACCACCCACCTACATCTTCCACCACCCACCTACATCTACCAACACCCACCTACATCTTCCACCACCCACCTACATCTACCACCACCCACCTACATCTACCACCACCCACCTACATCTACCACCACCCACCTACATCTCCACCACCCACCTACATCTTCCACCACCCACCTACATCTACCACCACCCACCTACATCTTCCACCACCCACCTACATCTACCACCACCCACCTACATCTACCACCACCCACCTACATCTACCACCACCCACCTACATCTACCACCACCCACCTACATCTACCACCACCCACCTACATCTACCACCACCCACCTACATCTTCCACCACCCACCTACATCTACCACCACCCACCTACATCTACCACCACCCACCTACATCTACCACCACCCACCTACATCTTCCACCACCCACCTACATCTCCACCACCCACCTACATCTACCACCACCCACCTACATCTACCACCACCCACCTACATCTACCACCACCCACCTACATCTACCACCACCCACCCTACATCTTCCACCACCCACCTACATCTTCACCCACCTACATCTACCACCACCCACCTACATCTACCACCACCCACCTACACCCACTGTAATTTAACTATAAATTTTACCTGCTATGATGCACTTTCCTCACACACCTTTAAATCTAATTTTCTATATTATAATCACATATAATCCAGGTAGATAATGGTTATAGATAATCTATAATTATTATATGTTCTATAATAGTGTTATATATGCTAGCTTAAATGTCTATAATTCTTTTATTTAGGCATTTATGTTATTTCTGTGGCCTTTTAAACCACTGTGAGCGTTATTTTTGAGTTATTATACGTAATTATAGGTATTTTGGAGGTGTTATTAAGTTGTTTAGTTTTTAATATATGTTATTTATATCGTTGTTACCTAATGAAGTTATTTATTTGTTCGGTTATTTTAATAATCCAATTTTAGAGATGGTACTAAGGGTGACAACACTGTGGAACCCGTTTAAAAAGATCGTTTTATGGGTCGCAAGACTGTGTAGTCCTTTTAAAAGAGGCACTGGTTGTACGGTAGTGCCTGGCACATGTGTGGGGTTGAGTGTAAGAGAGCCAAGATTCCCCTGGCACTCTCTGCCATCGTCTAGTCACTAAGCTATTTCTAGATAAACGCTGAAACACGCCATTAAATTTTTAAACTGCGCGCGTCACCCGTTGCCTAGCAACCACCTCTCCGGGGGTAAAACTATAATCTTGTCCATAATTTTTATCTAAAAGCGCATTTATTTTTGTTATTTAAAGTATATAAGTAATAAATACATTAAATATTTTTTATTTAATGAGGTAAAGGTGGAATTTGTAATTTTATATTTTAGTTTTTAACGCATAAACAGTACAGATTTTGTTTTGATTCCTAGGGGTGGTAGGGGGTAGGAGGTTAAGCCATCAGTCTGCTCCACGCGGTGACAGGAGCAGGACCACCTGGCTCTCCTGCTCTCTATTTCCCCGCATTTCCGTGCGTTATTTAAGACGTGATAGCTCTCTATAACAGCCAGTGTGGACGCTGACATCATGGCCGACTACTTGATATGTGGAGGGACGAGCTACGTGCCCGAGGACGGCAACACTGGGGCACAATTGTTCGCTACGGGAGATGGCTTAACATATCAGTGAGTTACACTTTGTCAGCTTCACTAAGCCAGGGAGTAAGCCAGTGGCTAAGCCACCACGCTTATGTCACTCCAGGACTCTGTCGTCGCTTTATATATCAGGGGAGTAACGTTTAAGCCAGTGGCTTAATGTTGTTTGGTGACTTAAGCCAGAGGATAAGCCAGTGGCTTAACGCCGTTAGGTAACTTAACCAAGCCAGAGGATAAGCCAGGGGCTTAACGCCGTAGGTAAATTTAAAACTAAGCCAGAGGATAAGCCAGTGGCTTAACGTCGTTAGGTAACTTAACTAAGCCAGAGGATAAGCCAGTGGCCTAACGTCGTTAGGTAACTTAACTAAGCCAGAGGATAAGCCAGTGGCTTAACGTCGTTAGGTAACAACTAAGCCAGAGGATAAGCCAGTGGCTTAACGTCGTTAGGTGACAACTAAGCCAGGGGATAAGCCAGTACATATACATCAGTACTCTCACCAATTTAAATATGAGAATAACGTTTAAGCCAGTGGCTTAACCCAGGGGTAAGCCAGCACAGGTCACTAGGACCTGTGCTGGCTTTGTTTTTTAAGGTCGTTGCTAAGCCAGGTGTTTCGTTCCCCTGGCTTGTTTTCCCAAGCCAGGACGTCTGGTGGCTTTAAATGGTTGTGGCTTGATACTAGGAGGAGGAAGTTAGGAACCAGTGATATGTAACCTTCGTAAGATAGGATAAGCCAGGTCAAGCCAGGACGTCTTTTTAAATGGTCGTGGTTTGATACTAGGAGGTGGAGGCAGTGAGGTAGGATATGTGTAACCTATGTATGCCAGGATAAACCTACCTAGCATGGGCCAGTAGGCCTGCTGCAGTGCTTCTTATGATAACCCAGGACTCTATCAACCTCGTGTCAGGGATCCCATCAACCCCTTGTCAAGGATCCCATCAACCCCATGTCAGGGATCCCATCAACCCCTTGTCAAGGATCCCATCAACCCCTTGTCAAGGATCCCATCAACCCCATGTCAAGGATCCCATCAACCCCATGTCAGGGAGCCCATCAACCCCATGTCAGGGAGCCCATCAACCCCATGTCAGGGAGCCCATCAACCCCATGTCAGGGAGCCCATCAACCCCATGTCAGGGAGCCCATCAACCCCATGTCAGGGAGCCCATCAACCCCATGTCAGGGAGCCCATCAACCCCATGTCAGGGAGCCCATCAACCCCATGTCAGCACACTAAATAATGTAGATCTTAATATTACGGATTGCGAAAAAGATTTAGGAGTTCTGGTTAGCAGTAATCTGAAACCAAGAAACAGTGCATAAGTGTTCGCAATAAAGCTAATAGAATCCTTGCTTCATATCAAGAAGCATAAATAATAGGAGTCCTCAGGTTGTTCTTCAACTCTATACATCCTTGGTTAGGCCTCATTTAGATTATGCTGCACAGTTTTGGTCACCGTATTACAGAATGGATATAAATTCTCTGGAAAATGTACAAAGGAGGATGACAAAGATGATCCCATGTATCAGAACCTTCCCTATGAGGATAGACTAAGGGCCCTGAAACTGCACTCTCTAGAAAGGGCGTAGAATTAGGGGGGGTATGATTTAGGTTTATAAGTGGAAGACAGGAATAAATAAAGGGGATGTAAATAGTGTGCTGAAAATATCTAGCCTAGACAGGACTCGCAGCAATGGTTTTAAGTTGGAAAAATTCGATTCAGGAGGATATAGGAAAGTACTGGTTTGGTAATAGAGTTGTGGATGAGTGGAACAACTCCCAAGTACCGTTTTTAGAGGCCAGAACGTTGTGTAGCTTCAAAAATAGGTTGGATTAAAAACATGAGTAGATGTGGGTGGGTGTGAGTTGGCCTGATAGCTTGTGCTAACAGGTCGGTTGCCGTGTTCCTCCCTTAAGTCAATGTGACCTGACCTGACTAGGTTGGGTGCCTTGGCTTAAGCCGGTAGGGACTTGGACCTGCCTCGCAGGGCCAGTAGCCTTCTGCAGTGTTCCTTCGTTTTTATGTTCTTATGTTCTTATGTTTTATTTCTTATGTTCTTTGTTCTTATGTTCTTATGTTCTTATTTTTCTTATGTTCTTATGTTCTTATGTCCCGGGAGCCATCACCCCATGTCAGGGAGCCCCTCAGCCCCATGTCAGGGAGCCCAAACCCCCCTGTCAGGGGGCCCATCAAACCCCATGTCGGGGGCCCATCAGGGCCCCCTGTCAGGGAGCCCCCTCCCCCATGCAGGGATCCCATTCAACCCAAAGGGCGGGAACCCCTTTAACCCCTTTTCCGGGATCCCATCAAACCCCCCTGTCAGGGGGCCCATCAACCCCCCTGTCAGGGAGCCCATCAACCCCCTGTCCCGGAGCCCATCAAAACCCTGGGCAGGGGGCCCCTCAACCCCCATTCAGGGGGCCCATCAACCCCCTGTCGGGAGGCCCCTCCCAACCCCCGGGCGGGGGGCCCATCAACCCCCTGTCGGGGGATCCCATCAACCCCATGTCGGGGATCCCATCAACCCCAGGGCGGGGGTCCCCCTCAACCCCATGCGGGATCCCCTCAACCCCCTTTTCAGGGGTCCCATCAACCCTTGTCAGGGGGGTCCCCCTCAACCCCATGTCAAATCCCCCAAAACCCCGTCAAGGATCCCTTTAACCCCCGGGCAAGGATCCCCTCAAACCCCCGGGCAGGGGCCCCCTCAACCCCTTGGGCGGATCCCATCAACCCCCTGGCAGGGTTTCCCCTTTAACCCTGTCAGGGAAAACCCCCTCCCTTTCCCCTTCGGGAAACCCATCAAAAACCCCCTGTCAGGGGGCCCCTCAAACCCCCTGTCAGGGAACCCATCAAAACCCCCTGTCAGGGAGCCCCTCAACCCCAGTCAGGGGGCCCCAACCCCCTGTCAGGGACCCCTCAACCCCATGTCGGGGAGGGCCCCTCAAAAACCCCTTTCGGGGGGCCCATCAACCCCTTCGGGGAGCCCCTCAACCCCATGTTTGGGGGTCCCAAACAACCCCCTGTCGGGGGCCCATCAACCCCCTGTCAGGGATCCCTCAAACCCCCTGTCAGGGGCCCATCAACCCATGCAGGGAGCCAAAAAACCCCCCGTAGGGCCCATCAAAACCCCCTGTCGGGGGCCCATCAACCCCCCTGTCGGGGGCCCATCAAACCCTTTTCGGGGGGGCCCATCAACCCCATGCGGGGGCCCCATCAAACCCCCGTCGGGGATTTCCCTCAACCCCCTTGGGGAACCCATCACCCCATGTCGGGGATCCCCTCAACCCCAGTCGGGGATCCCCTCAACCCCTTTTTCAGGGGTCCCATCAACCCCATGTCAGGGGTCCCCCTCAAAACCCCGTCAGGGGTCCCATTTAACCCCCTGTCAAGGATCCCATCAACCCCCTGTCAAGGGGTCCCATCAACCCCCTGTTCCCAAAGGGGCCCATAAAAAAACCCTTCAGGGGCCCCTTTAACCCCTTGTCAAGGATCCCCTCAACCCCATGTCAGGGACCCCCAACCCCTTTTTCAGGGAACCCCTCAACCCATGGCAAGGGTCCCCTTTAAAACCCCCCTCCAATTTTATCCCCTCAAAACCCCCCGTAAGAATCCCATCAACCCCATGTCGAGCACCATCAAACCCCCTGTCAGGGGCCCATCAAACCCCCATGTCGAGGTCCCTCAACCCCCTGTCGGGATCCCCATCAACCCCTGTCGAGGATTTCCCCTCACCCCATGGGCGAACCCTTTAACCCCAGGGCGAGGGTCCCCCTCAACCCCCGGGCTTTGGGTTTCCCCTCAACCCCCCTCGGGATCCCCCTCAACCCCCCGGTCGAAGGTCCCCCTTTAACTCCCGGGCAAGTGCCCAACAACTCCAAATTTGAGGGTCACATCAAGGACCCCAACCCCACTCAAGGCCCCCCCCCCCCACCCCCTTTTGGGACATTTAACCCCCCATCAAAGGCACCCTCAACCTCCCCATAAAGGGGACCATCCCAACCCCATGGGCCCTAGGCCCGCGCAGTGCACTTAAATTCTTATATTGGGAATTTTCAACCCCTTTTTTTTTTTTATTCAATAAGTTGTCAACAAGCGGCTATACACTATAAAAAAAACCTATACAACCAACGGGTTTCCGGTTTACGTGACCGGCGGGGAGCAACGGGAACAAGGGAAGTAGACACGCATGGCTAAGTGTAAAATTTTTTACCAAAAAGTCCCAAACTCAGAAAATAAAGCTATATATACTGCATGGTTCTCCCACATAACTGAGGAGGTTAATGGGTATATATACTGCATGGTCTTCTCACATAACTGAGGAGGTTAATGGGTATATATACTGCATGGTTCTCCCACATAACTGAGGAGGTTAATGGGTATACTGCATGGTTCTCCCACATAACTGAGGAGGTTAATGGGTATATATACTGCATGGTCCTCTCACATAACTGAGGAGGTTAATGGGTATATATTCTGCATGGTTCTCCCACACATCTGAGGAGGTTAATGGGTACATGTACTGCATGGTCCTCTCACATAACTGAGGAGGTTAATGGGTATATATACTGCATGGTTCTCCCACACATCTGAGGAGGTTAATGGGTATATGTATATTGCATGGTTCTCCCACATATCTTAGGAGGTTAGTGGGTATATATACTGCATGGTCCTCCCACATCTGAGGAGGTTAATGGGTATATATTCTGCATGGTTCTCCCACATAACTGAGGAGATTAATGGGTATATATACTGCATGGTTCTCCCACATAACTGAGGAGGTTAATGGGTATATATAATTCTTGGTTCTCCCACATATCTGAGGAGGTTAATGGGTATATATACTTGGTCCTCCCACGTATCTGAGGAGGTTAATGGGTATATATACTGCATGGTTCTCCCACATAACTGAGGAGGTTAATGGGTATATATACTGCATGGTTCTCCCACATAACTGAGGAGGTTAATGGGTATATATACTGCACAGTTCTCTCGCATAACTGAGGAGGTTAATGGGTATATATACTGC